CTTTCCCTCCCTTTGGCAAATGTGTATCCTCTCTGGCAAAACTAAAGAAAAAAACAAAAACAAAAACAAAAAACAGAAACAAGGGTAGGCAGAACAAATGCTCTGTGAGGACCATCAAATAGCTTGCTCTAGGTCATGGTATATGTCCAATGTAGCAATTATAGTCGAGAATGATAAGAAATTACTGTTTGTAATAGATAATTTCCTGATAAATGACTTAAAAATATTTGGCTTTAGGAATAAATTTGTTTATAAGGCAAAGATATATGACTAAAAAAAAAAGTCAAAACCACAGTGAGAAACCACTTCACTTCCATTAGGACGGACACTAATGAAAGCAGAAAATATCCCGGATGCGGAGAAGTTGGAACCTTGCGCACTGCTGGTGGGAATGTAAAATGGAACAGCCCCCATGGAAGACGGCATGGCAGCTCCTCGAAAAATTAAATACAGAATTACTGTTAGACCCAGAAATCTCTCCCACTCACAGGTATGCACTCAGAATTAAAAGCAGAGACTACGCCACTTCTACACCAGTTTTCACAGAAGCATTATTCCCAACAGCTAAAGGCTGAGGTCAACCCAAATGCCCACTGACAAATGGCTGGTTAAACAAAATACGGTACATCCAAATAAGGAATATTATTCAGCCTTAAAAAGGAATGGCATTCTAACAGGTGCTAAAACATGAGTGGACCCTGAAAACATTACACTAAGTGAAACAAGCCACACATAAAAGGATACATATTATCTTATCTTATCTTATAGGATTCCACTTATATGAGGTTTCTAGAATAGGCAAATTCAGAGAGGGATAGTAGACTGTTGCCAGAGGCTGGGTGGGGGAGAAGCGGGAATGAGTTGCTGTTTAATGAGTATGACGTTTCAGTTTGGGATGAAAAAGTTCTGGAAATGGGCAGTGGTGATAACTGCATTTTGAATGTACTTAATACTACAGAACTATATGCCTAAAAATAATTAAAATGGGGGGCCAGCAGATGGCATGGTGGCTAAGGTACTAAGGGGGTCCCATGCGGTCGACCACAGTTTGAGTCCCAGACCCGACAGTTTGCTTTCTTTATCTCTGTCTATGGTGAGAGCACATGCACTGTAGCAAAAATTTAAAAACAGTAAGGGGCCAGCAGAGGGTTTAGTGGTTATGTCGCTGAATTCCCATATGGCTGATGGCAGTTTGAGTCCCAGATCTGGTGGCTTGAAAATCTACTCCAGGTGCATGTGTGTGCATGTCCAAGATCCCAGGAGGGGAATGGAGAAGGGATTGAGGTGTGGCCATCTCCCCGGGGGATGATTTATCACTCTCCCTCTCACTGTCTCTGTCTCTCTTTCTCCATCAGAAAGAAAGTGAGAAAGCAAGCCACCAGGTTTGGGACTTGAATTGTGATGGGCCATGTGGGAGTCCAGTGCTTTAACCACCACACTACCTACAGTCTGTATCCTTTTATGTGTGGCTTATTTCACTTAGCGTAATGTTTTCAGGGTTCACCCATGTTTTAGCACCTGTTAGAATGCCATTCCATTTTTTTTTCCTTTTGGAGAGGTTTTTGCTATATGGTGTGTGTGCGCTCACCAGAAAGACAGAGACAGAGAGATAGAAAGCAAGAAATCACCCCCCAGAGGGGATGGCCACGCCACAATCCCTTCTCCTCCATTTTCCTCTCGGGATCTTGGGCATGCACGCACACGCGCTTGGCGTGAATTTAAGTCACTGGGTCCAGGACTCAAACCGCTGTTGACTACATGGGAGTCCAGTGACATAGCCATTACGCCACCTGCTGGTCCCAAATGTCATTCCTTTTTAAGGCTGAGTAATATTCCTTATTTGATATACTGGCCCCTAAATAAATAATTTTCTTTTTTTGAGAGGATTTTGCCATAGGGTGCATGTGCTTGCCAGAAAGACAGAGAGAGACAGAGAGACAGAGAGACAGAAAGCGAGAAATCACCCCCACCAGGAAGGAGGGCCACACCACAATCCCTTCTCCTCCATTCTCCTCTCAGGATTTTAGGCATGCACGCACATGCACCTGGTATGAGTTTAAGCCACCAGTTCCGGGACTCGAACCGTGGTCAACTACATGGGAATCCAGTGACATAGGCATTACGCAATCTGCTGGTTCCAAATAGATAATTCTTAAAAAAAAAAAAAAAAAGTTAAACTGGTAGATTTTGTTATATATTTTAGTTTAAAAATTAATATTAAGGAGAAGAAAGCATTTATACTGATTAGACTTTATGGAACTCTGGGTTCTCTGTCCTGGAAAAGCACCTTCTCTTTGCTGCCCAATGTGTAAGAGCTAAAGTGTGGCATCTGTCGATGAATTCAGCAAAAATACACCAAAATGGGTGAAGACAACCATATCAGGTTTTTTTTGTTTTGTTTTTAAAATTATTGGTGCTATTCCTGCCAGGAAAACTCTAAGATAAGCAATAAACAGATTACTTGGAGACTGAGAAAGCTGGGGGGGGTGAAAACAAGAGGCAGTGTTGGAGAAGGCATATTGGAAATGATGAAATGATCCTAAGGGAGACCTTGCCACATACATGAAAACGGAAGGCATCTATTTGCTGGGAGGGCAGCTTACATCCATAATGGTTACAGGGATGTCCCGGATTTTATGAGGTTCCACATAGGAATTTTGACAGTTCAGGGTAAGTCTTGAAGCCAGCTCACTCTGACCCAAACTTTCCAGCTGCAGAAAGAAACAGAGGTGAAGTTTTTGAAAGAATTCTGTTTTTCACATTTACACACACACACACACACACACACACACACACACACACACACACA